CTATTTTGTACATGCCAGTTTTAATATCTGATTTTATAAAAGCAGTGACTACAAGAGACTGTATCTATGTGAGCACTGAGGCATCCATGTGGCCAAGGAGGCAGGCACACAAGCTGGCTGTGCATTGGGGCACACTAAACCTTGCTGCAATGACCATAAGAAAAAATTCAAGTAACCCTTGCGAGGAGTCTTATATTGAAATAAATGAACCTTTTGCTATCGTTGCTGCTGTAGAAGCCAACTTAAGTATTTATAGAGGTTAGCTGAGCAGACTTTAAGCTTCAGTAACCATTAATCAGTGGTTGATTTTAAAATGGAAACAAGAATTGGCTCCTGCTGCAATCTGACACTAGAGAAATATCTTCTGTATTTAATTAAATTAATTGATCTGAGGAGCAGCTAGGTGGTGCAGTGGATAGAGCACCGGTCCTGAAGGCAGGAGAACCTGAGTTTAAATCTGGCCTCAGACCAAACACTTGACACTTACTAGCTATGTGACCCTGGGCAAGTCACTTAACCCCAACTGCCTAAGCAAAAAAAAAAAAAAATTAATTGATCTGAAATTCTGCTGGCAAGTAGTATAACATAATAATAACAGCAATAGACATTTATACAGTTATTTAAATTTACAAATCCCTTTATATATCTTCTCTGCTTCAATTCTCACTACAAACCAGTGAGGTGGGTACTAAAGGGATTATTGACTGCTTTAGAGATTGGATAACTAAGACTCAGATAAAGTGACTTGTCCATAGAGCATCAGAGGTAGGATTTAAATCCAGGTCTCTGCTACCCAAAAAAAATCCATTACTCTTTCCAGGTATACCTAGAGTTACACCCAGGAAGGAAAAGAAAATATTTAACGCATTTTTTTCTGTAAAATTTAAAATTCTCACTAATTATATCATTAGCACAATTAGGACCATGTCTTATCTGAGTCTTGCTATTTATGCCTTGTCTACTATAGCAGAAGACTTCCACAAACATCATACCATTCCCACATTGGCCTATCTATAAAGTCAGGGTTAAAGCCCTTGGAAAGATTCCTGAAGTAAGAAGAGAGTTCTGTGGCAGATAACTCAGTTCAGCCTTGGAGTCCTTTCACTACTGAAATCTAGACATTCTTTTCCCACTTCTTTTTCTAATCATTTCTTTTTCTAATACCCCTCAACATCTGCTTCTACAGATAGTTCCATTAGATCCTTGATTCCAAACCAAGGTGAACTTGTGTCCATGACAGAAGGAACAGCTGTGTTTGCTGAGGCACTGAGTGATCTTTGCCAAATCAAGAAATGCTAAGCACATACCAAAAGGAGGTCAGAGGCAGAAAGATAGGTTCCACATACACCAAAACACTGCTTGTAGTACTTTTTGTGGTAAGAACTAGAACAAAAGTACTAAACAAATTGTAGGAAGTAACTGTAACAAAAAATTATTCTTCTGGGAGAAATGTGTATGAAGACTACAGATGAGCTTAGGAAGACTTACATGAACTGCTACAAAGTGAAGCAAGAAGGACCAGGAAAACAATATGCACAATGATAACAATAATATAAACAACCCCAATTTAAACTGAATGCTTTCAGCTAAGCTTGAACACACAGACACAAAGAAGAGATATGAGAAAGCAGTACCCTCCCTTTTGTGAAGAAGTAGAAGATCATTATAAAGGTGAAAAAAAAAGTCCCAATTTTCAGAAAAAGGGGGGAAATGGAGTCTGTAAACTGTGACCGGTAAGCTTGGCTTGTATTCCTGGCAAAATTCTAGAAAAAAAAATATTAAATGAATGATTAGGGACATTTATAAAAGGAAGCAGTGATCACAAAGAACCAACCTGGCTTCATCAAGAACAAGTCATGCTACATTTGTTCATAAGACTGGATATGTTGGTAAGAGTGCTAGTATGTCATGAGAATGGTTCAATTGCTTGTAGTCAAATAATGTTGAACACACATTTAAAAGACAAATTATGGCAAACTCATCTCTTTTTCCTTATGACAGATATACTAGACTGGTTTGATCAGAGAAATAGGGTAGATCTTTTTTTTTTAACCTGTATTTTTAGCAAAGCATTTTTGGCTGTTGTTGTGGATGAAATGTAGAGATCCAGGACACACAGTAATATAGTTAGATGTAGACCTGATTGAAGGGATATACCTAATGAGTAGTTATGAATGAATTGCTATATTTTAGAAAGGACACTGTAAGCTGGAAAGAATCTAGAGGAGAGTAGCCTGGATGGTAAAGGACTTTGATTTCTTGCCCTATGAGGATTGATTAAATAAAAAGGGGATATTTAGCCTGGAAAAGAGAAAACATGATATTGGAAGAAGAGGAATTCAGTTTGTTCAGATTGGCCCCTGACAGCAGAACTAGAAACAATGAGCAGAAATTACAGAGGCAAATTTAGTCTTTATGTAAACAAAATTGCCTTCTAATTGGAGAAATGCAAAAATGGAATGAGCTGCTTTGAGAAGTAGCCTTGCCCCAATTGGAAGCACAGAAATGACAATCAACAAATACTCGCTGAGCACCTAATGCCCATTAAATGCATGGCACCATGCTAGACATGGTGAAAGAATACAGACAACTATCATTTCTTACTTTAAAAAAAATATTTATTCATAAATCTGTTTCAGGACATCATACAAACTCCCAATCATCCTTTAATATATAATTCTAGAAAAAAATATACCCCAGAAATGAAATCATAAGTATCATCAATAGTTTATTGAACATACATCATCCTTTAACAAACCAGAAAAAAAAGAGAGACTAAAATTTAACATAGCAAGTATCAGTCCAATCATTCTTTAATGTTGTTTTACTTAACTGTTTCCTACTCTAAACAAACTTATGTAGTTGGGGAAATAAAACATGTATTCAAAAGTTTCCTTATTTGGCAAGTGCTATCGGAGTTAGGAAAAAAGAGAAATCATTGTGAGTTGGAGTAATCAGGAAAGACTTCATGGATGAAGTGAGATTTCAAGAACTTGCAAGATAATTAAGAAGACTTAAACAGATGAAGAAAAAAAGACATTCAAGGTGGGGGGGGGGAGAATAAAAAGCAAAAACATAGAGATGGAAAAGTACCTCATCCAAAGTTCCCTACCACAATAAAAGCAGAACCACCAGTCATGGTCTAAAAGAAAAGACAAAGGTTGAGAGTATAAAGTCCTGGGTTCTTGTCTCATTAAATGTATTCCATTTAATTTAACAAGCATTAAACACCTGCTATTTGTTAGAGTAGGGGCAGCGAGGTGGACCATGAGCTGGGACTGGAGTCAGGAAGACTGGAGTCCAAATCTAGGCTCAAAGACTTACTAGCTGTGTGACACTGGGCACGTAACCTGTTTCCTTCAGTTTCCTCATTTGTAAAATGAGCTGGAAAAGGAAGTGGCTAATCACTCCAGTATCTTCCAAGAAAATCTTCAAAGAAGGACATGACTGAAACAACTAAATGACAAATTTGTAGAGCACTGAGTTAGTCCCTCATGATACAATTTCTTCTCTCAAGGTAGTTATAGTCTAATAGGAGAGAAGGTATATGTATACAAATATCTCTAATACTTCCTACTAACATTACTATAATACAAATATATGTGTGTACATATATAAAGATTCAAAGATTGCATAGGAGATTAAACAAGAGAGGCATCACTTTCACCTAGAGAAAATAAGGGAAAGCTTTATGGGGAGTTAGCACCTGAATTATACCTTTATGGTTGGAAAGGATTTCATCAGATAGAGTTAAAAAGAATAAATTCAAGGCACAAGGGATTCTATAAGAAAAGAGATGGGAAAGGACTGGATCTAGTAAGGGAGTGACAAGTGGGGTCAGTTTGGCTAAAGGATAAAGTTAATTAAAAAGAGAAATCTAACATAAGACTAGGAAAGTGGGATAGAGTACAGCATGAATGGAGTTTAGACTTTATGCTAAAAGCAGTACAGAGTTATTAAAGATTTTTGAGTAAGGAATAACATGATTTAAGGAAGACTTTGGCCATAGGATATTTACATGTTCATATAAAATAGTTAAAATATCAGATTTATATATTTAGGGTGAGGGAAAAAACTAAGGCAGAAAGATCATTTAGAAGGTTATTGCAATAATCTTATCAGTAAGGTAATGAAGAACGGAACTAGGCTGGTAACACTGTGAAGGATAAGATTAAGAAAGATGTCTGGCCTCAGACACTTGACACTTACTAGCTGTGTGACCTTGGGCAAGTCACTTAACCCCAATGCCTCACCAAAAAAAAAAAGAAAAGAAAAAAAAAGATTAAGAGAGATGCAGAAGACCTGAGAGTAAGAATCAATAGGATTTGGCAACTGATTAAATGCAGGTGTTGAAGAGAGATGAGTCAAAGATGGTTCTCAAGTTTACTAGTAAAAGGTACTAACTAGCTCAGATTCTTCATCTATAAAATAGGGAATCTTGGGAACAATCCTTGTCCTCCATCTCTTATGACATCCGTCCCTCAGTAGGATTCTATGAGGGGAAAATGATACGCTAGATTAGAGAGCAAACTCAAAGTAGAACTTTGCTATAACACAACTCTAGATCAGAATAGAGTATAAAGGTAGCTTAATCTTGGACTCCACCCAAGAGGAGTTATTGAAATACCCAAAGAGCTTTAGTATAAGGGATTTTCACCTCTGAAGTTTCATGGAATAGGTTAGGTAGGACGATAGTGGTATAATGATGCCTTCATTTCTTTAGCCTTAGAGGGGAAAATATTCTCTGATAATAAGCAAAGCAACTTTGGACTTTCTCTGACTAACAAAACAGACCCACTTTTCCATATACATCTGTGAGGCTGACCTCTACTTCACAGACTGTGGGTTTGGGTTGTGAGGGGTGGGGGTGTGGGGGGGAAGGGGAGGGGGAAAGCATGATGTCACACCCAGGACTATATAAGGTACTTCATTAGGCTCTTGCAGACAGTTTGAAAGCAGCTGGAGAAAAAGAAATAGCATAGCCCTTAGTTACTGGGGAATTTTAAAATTTGCATTAAGTCAATCCTCACAGAAAACCAGTTGAATAAAATGCAACCTCAGCAGAAAAGCCAATCCATTCGACCTTTCAAGCAACGGAAAAGTTTAGGTACAGCTCAGGGGGATCCTCCTAGAGAGGTGGGAAACGAGGGGAAAGGATGAATACAGACTTCATTCATTTGTCTGATTAACTCTTCGTGTGCCATTTACACTTTTACAGCAACCAGAAAAGAGGAAGTTGCTGGGATCCGTGCAAAGTTCCCAAGCAAGATACCGGTAAGGAGGTCCCTGTTGTAGAAGGTGGGTGGTGTAATGGTACTGCCGTGAGCCCTGATCAGTAGAATATTGGAACAACCACAGAGCCCCGTGATATACCCTCCCACCAACTCCCACATGAACTCAGTGCTTACAGGCAAGGGATCGTATTCCGTTCCGCTCAGAAGGGAGCAGCTGGCCTTGGTTCAATTTATGTTTAAACGTTTTAACAGGTGATAGTTGAACGTTATCAGAAGGAGAAATACCTTCCCCCGCTGGACAAAACCAAATTCCTCGTTCCTCAGGAGCTGACCATGACTCAGTTTCTAACTATCATTAGGTAGGTAGCAAAACTAGAGATACCGCTCTCTATGTACGGGAGGGGTGGGAGGAGGCAGGGAGAGGACCGCTTTCGTGCTTCTCTTGGACAGGCTCTAGGAGGGGGAGTCTGTCTGTGATTCACCCTTTCTCTTCAGGGTGGCCAGGAAATGTTGAACTTGTACTTAACCTCTTGGAGAATCCTAGGTTGGAGAGCCCCAGCCTGAGGTACCTAAAGAGAGCATTACTTGAGTTATCCTAAAGTCACAGGTGCTTTTTTTTTAAAATACCTAACAAGACCTTTTTTTCCCCCCCCTTTTGGAATTTGTTCCAGAATTCAAAAGAAAGCTATCCAGAGCTTAGTGCAAGCCTACTCTTTCAAGTCACTCTGACTTCATTAAAAATTCATAACTACTTACTGTGTACTCTCTGTCTCCTTCTGTTTGTCTGGCTCCCTCTATATGTCTGTATGTATTTCTGTATGTGGCTGTGTCTTTTTGTCTCTATGTGTTTTCTCAGTATATGACTGTGTGTCTACACGTCTCTTCGGGTGCCTCTGTTGGCATGTGTCTGTATCTATCTCTGCATGTCTCTGTGCCTTAATGTGACTGTCCTTCTCTGTGTCTCAAAAAAAAAAAAATCCAGAGCACCTTAGAGTAGTAGTACCTGCTACCTCCACCATATGCTAGAGGATTCTATTACCCTTTTCCCTTACTTTCTCCATCAACAAAAGAAGGTAGAAGTGAAGGAACAGAAAACACAATTGCCTTCTTGAAACCAAGCATAAAGAGGTGGAATTGGCACACAGGATCATAGAACTCTAGATGGAATGGAAGTAGGAGGCCATCTACTTCAGTCCCCACATTTAACAGATGAGGAAACTGAGAACCATGGAAGTTAGATGGCTTGTCTGAAACCATACACAGAGTGAACATCAAAGTTAGGATTTGAAACCAGCTCCTCAGACTTGAGAGATAGTGTCTATTCCAATGACCCAAGCTTCCTTGGCTATCCATCAATCAGTAAACATTCATGAAGTACCTACTATGTGTCAGGCACTGTGCTAAGCACATCATCACCCAACATATAGATTCAATAAAAAGTACTTGAAGCTAAAAATAGATGTCTAGGAGCTAAGTAAATATGGTTTACTGTATAATTCTCCACCAAAAAAAAAAAAAAAGAAACTAGGGACTTTCCTTGGGAAGTTTTGTAACTTAAATAAGCAGTTTTCTCCCAACATCTCATTCAATGATCACTGCTTAAGCATCTATTATGTTAGAGGCACTCTACCAAGCAGCTGGTGCTACAAGCGTAACACCATAATAGCCTGTGCCAAAGAGTTTACCAAGAAGTAACAGTATCATGTGTACACACATAAGTGTAATGTAAGGCAGAATATGACTGGAATTTCTTATGCAATCTTATTCCTTGTGCTTGTATATTAAAATGCTTGTGTGAGCCAATGATGGTTAAATTCATAACAAAACATGACATTTTTAACAGGAATATACCATAAATGAGGTCAAGAAAATTAAAAAGGGAAGACAACACTCTCCTTATTTTTGGAAGGAGGCAGCAGTCGTATTGACTAGTTTGTGTTTTCCTTAGTATGGTCTTCCATATTATATTTGTGATTGGGAGGAAGCAGAGGGTTAATAATTAGAATTTTTTTTTCTGATACTAGGTCTCCCTATCTCACCCAGAAAGGAAGTGCAATTGCCAATCATGAGCTGACCTACTGTTAATTGGCACTGAAATTTTCACCTGCCTTGTTTTTCCCTCCTAGGTGGATCACTATTCCTTAAGCAGCCTGTTGGCCCTCTGTCCTAGATAAGAGTACTGGACCTGGAGTCAGGAATACCTGAATTCAATCCTGCCTCAGACACTTAGTAGTTGTGTGACCCTGAGTAAATCACTTCACCTCTCTGTACCTCAGTTTTCTCATCTGTAAAATGGGGATGATAATAATAACACCTACCTCCCAGGGTTGTTGTGAGGATATAATATTCATAAAGTGCTTTGCAAACTTTAAAATGCTATAAAAATGCTAGCTATTATTACTATGGTTATTGTTATCATCTTTGCACCATACTTGGTGTGGACACTCATGGGGCTTAAAGGCAGCCAGTGAATAGAGTGCTGGGCATGAAGTCAGGAAACCCTGAGTTCAAATACAGTCTCAGACACAGAGTAGGTGAGACTTTGAGGAAAATTACTTGACCTCTATTTGCCTCTGTTTCCTCAAATGTAAAATGGGTCACAGGGTTGCTATGATGGTCAAATGAAATTTTTTTGAAGAAGTTGGCACCATGCCTGGCACATAGTAGGCACTGTCTAAATTTTTATCCCCTTCCTCTTCCTTTAGCTCTGTTGTGGCTCAGAATTCTCGATTAACCAGCCTCAGTCTCTCTATGGCAACGATTACAGGTGTTTACCACCAGACGGTGACAGAATTAGAATTTGTCATCACCAGCTGCCAGCTCAAATGCCAACAGTGACTTCTCCCAAATTACGCTAGAGTGTTTAACAGAAAAAAATGGTTGTTTGTTTTAAATGTAGAGTTAAGGCCATAGGTTGAGCTAAACACTGGTGGCTCTCCTGGGTTTATCCAGGTGCCCAGTTTCTCTCCTTCCCTGAACATACTTGTTCCGATTTTAACAATTCTGACAGAAATGTTTGGAGGGGCAGAACTGAAATGTATTGGTTAAAGAGAGGACTTATAAGTTCATGGCAAAAATTGCTTGTTTATTTAACATTTCTGAGCAGTCTATGTTGTCTCTATTTTCTTTCTCAGTTAACTAGAGAATGGCCTTGCCCATCTTACCCAGATAATAGTAGACATAAGGATAGGGACTGTAACTGTGGTCTCATTTGCTATCAGGAAACTTCCTCTATCAGTGCAGGTCCAAGTGCTGAAACTTAAGAGTTTTAGAAGGCTCCCTAAAGTCCTAAGAGGTTATGTAACTTACCCAGGGTCACACAATCAGAGGCAGGATCTTAACCATGGGGTAGGAAGCCTTATGGTGGCTGTGGCTGCTTTTCAAAAGAACTTGATAGAAATTTTAATTACCAAGCTTGACCCTGGAAAAGAGATAAGAAAGAAGCTCCCCCTCCCCTACTTTGCAGAGGTGTGTGGGGGTGGGAGTGTCTATGAGTATGTAATATTGTATAAATGTCCTGATCAGGTTGATGTGTTGGTTGGTTTTGTTGAAATATGTTTTTTTTTTCTCCTTTGTTACAAAGGATAGATGACAAGCTAAAGAGGGAAGGGAGAAGGATATATTTGGGAATGAACATGATGTGGAAAAAAAAATTCAAATTTTTTAAAGATCATGACAGAAAGGCCCCAGTGTAATCTGGAGAAAAGAAGCTACGGTTGGAAATTAGGAACCCAGGGTTCTAGTCTCTGCTCTGCCACTAATTGTGTGACAACAGGAAAGAAGGTCAAAAGTATTTGTTAAGCATCTACTATGTGCCAGGCACTTTGCTAAACAGTCTACAAACATAATCCCATTTCATCCTCACAAAAACCCTGGGAGTTAGGTGCTATTTTCATCCTCACTTTACAGCTGAGGAAACTGAAGCAGACAGAGAGCAAGCTTACCCAGGGTCACACAGCTAGGAAGTGTCTGAGGCTGGATTTGAACATGGCCATGCCTAGTGTGCTATCTAATGTGCCACCTAGATGCCTTATAGACAGATCATTTCCCGAGTCTTGTTTTTCTCTTCGGTGTTATGAGGTGTTAATATTCGCCCTACAAGATTGTTCTGAGTCCCAGATGAAATACTAGATGTGAATATTTCCTCAAAAAGATAAAAGTGTCATATAAATATATGGTAGTATTTTAAGAGATGGTTACATAGATATTCAAATACTTGTTGAGCAGAATTAGTTTGGGTTGTATCCTCCATGGGTCAAGTGAAAGGAAACACAGGTACCATTAATGCTCAATCAACCCTTTAAAATGGGAGGGTTAGGGCAGCTAGGTGGTGAAGTGGATAGAGCACCAGCCCTGGATTCAGGAGGACCTGAGTTCAAATCTGGCCTTAGACACATAACACTTACTAGCTGTGTGGTCCTGGGCAAGTTACTTAACCCCATTGCCTAAACAAAATAAAATTAAATTAAAAAAAAATAAAAGACATAAAATGGGAGGGGGTACTCCTTTCTCATAGTGTACATAAAAAGCTCTGCAGTTGGAGTCAGAATACCTGGGTTCACAGTTATATTCTGCTCTTTATTATGTAACATAACGCGCACACACACACGCGCACACACACACACACACACACACTCACACACTTTTCTGGGTCTCAGTTTCTTCCATTGTGCAGTCAAAAGAATGCTTAACTTGAAGTCAGGAAAACTTAGGTTTGAGTCCATCCTCTAAAGCTGCTGAGTTATATGACCAAGGACAAGGAGCATCAGCTTCCTCCGTAGTAAAATAAGGCATCGAGGACATGAAGCAGAAAGGTCACTAGACTTATCAGGGAGACCCGAGTTCAGATCCTGGTCTCAGACACTTACTTAGCTATGTAACCTTTAACCCTCTTAACCTAGTTTTCTGTCTATAAAATGGGGATAATAATAGCACGTGCCTTTCATGGTGGTTGTGAGAATTAAAAGAGATCATATGTGCAAATGTTTACAATACTTAAAGTATTCTATTAAATGCTAGCTATTATCATTAAAACAGAAATAATAATAACATGTGTGCATGGTGTTCAATCATTTTCAGTGATATCTTACTCTATGTGACCCTATTTGGGATTTTCTTGGCAAAGATACTGAATATCTTCTCCAGCTCACTTTACAGAGGAGTAGTTGAGGCAAACAGGGTTAAGTGACTTGCCCAGGGTCACACAGCTAATACATGTTAGAGTCTAGATTTGAACTCAGGTCTTCCTGCCTCCAGCCTTGACACTCTAGCCACTGAGTCACCTAGCTGCCCCAATAATAATACTTAAAACTTCACAGTATTATTGTGAAAATCAAACCAGAGCATGAACAGCACTCCACAAATCTCAAAGAGCATATAAATGTTTTTGGTTTAGTTTGGGTTTTGTTTTTGTTTTTTGTTTTTTTTTAACCAGATCTATGATTTCATTGGTGCAGGAAATTCCTTCTGAAGGAAACTTCCTCTCCCAAGGCAGATCAGACCTGCTGTGCGATGCAGTCTTAGAAGGCTGCCTGAATCACTGAGAGATTAAATACAAATTCCTCATCCCAAGGTCGCTCAGCTAATAGGAAAAGTTTGAACTTGAACCCTGGTCTTCAAAACACTATAGTCTGCTCTCTGTCCACTAAACCAAGCTGCCTTCTCTAGCTCTTAATGATTTTTATATATAAAATGAAGGAACTGAACTAAATAATTTCTAAAGACCCATCTAGCACTAAATAATTTTATGAAAAGGAGGGCTCAGAACTCGTAATACCAACCTTGGACCTTAGATAATGAGTGTTGGGCTTGGAATCCAGAAGATGTGATTTCATATCCTGCCTCAGACATTAGCTGTATGCACTGGTCAGTTCCTTGACCTCTGTTTGCCTCAGTTTCCTCAACTGTAAAATGGAGATGATAATAACAGCACCTACCTTCCAGGATTATTGTGAGGATCAAATGAGATATTTGTAAAGGGCTTAGCACAGTGCCTCTCTCATAGTAAGTGCTTAATAAATGCATATTTCCTTCCTTCTTAGACCTGTAGCCTTTTGTATTCTCAGGCTTAACTCTATCCTCCCTTCTTGTCTTAGGAGTCGCATGGTTCTGACAGCCACTGAAGCTTTCTACCTCCTGGTGAACAATAAGAGCTTAGCAAGCATGAGTGTGACCATGGCAGAAATCTACAGAGATTACAAGGATGAAGATGGTTTTGTGTATATGACATATGCCTCCCAGGAGATGTTTGGCTGCCCATTACTCGTGGCCAACCCTGAGTTGCAGCGGAGCTTTGGCCCAGGCTCCTGCAAACACCTTCAGCCCACATCTGGTTAGGAGGTAACTGTCCTTTAATTGATTCAACAAACTCTGACAAGTGGGATTTGTTTTCTCCAGTGAAAAAGAGGCTGTGCTGCCATAAACTGAATAGAACCAATGAACAAAATCCAAGCATCTGTTTTGTTTTGGTCATTTAAAAAAAAGTGTAAAGCCCTTAGAAAATATTATTGTAAATCAAGCCTCTGTTTTTCAGAATGGGAATGGGTTACTTTATATAATGCCTCATATAATCTCATTGAAGAAGAGAAGAATGGAAGTTGAAATTGTTTAAATGACAAACACTTCTACAGAGTAGGGAGAAACTTGAATGGAGGCATCCTCTGTCCTGTGCCACACTTTAAGAAAAGACTATACTTAAATCCTCTGAGACTATAGAGAATCTCTGTCCTACAAGTTGTCTCTGCCTGGTTAAAAAAAAAATCCCTGTAGCTCAGGAAATCCTGTTTAAAACATATCTGCAAAGTTTGCATTTATTAAAGTTTTTGCTGGTTTATTTCAATAATTAATCATCTGGTCCTTTGTATTGCTCCCCACACAGTCCCAAATTCATGACTGCTCAAAATTCAAAACCATTTTTTAAAAATCCTCCAATGTCCAAACACCAAATCTGTACTACTACTGTGTAATCCCTGGCCACAGCTTTAAGTCCATCTTCTAGTCTCCCTGCTCTAATCAGTGCCTCCAACATGTAGCCTTTGAGACGTTTCACTTCTGTTGAATCGCCACATATGATGGCTTTATCTCCTGAAACATCCCTGCTCCTTTAAACTACTTGCTTGAATTGCTTGAAAACTTACCAAATAAATCACTTTGGTGGTGTTATCAGGACAAGCCCCAGTTCGTTTTTTGGTTGTTTTTTTTTTTTTGAGGGGGAGGGGGACAAGGTTGGTAGTGGTAGTTATTTGTTGGCTTATTTTAAAGTCTGTTTCAGGAAAGGACATCATTCTCAGAGAGTGAGTTTCCTGTCCAATATCCATTGTTGGACACCTGAGAGATTTCTAATGACCCTATCCATCATAACATTAAACTAATACTACAATCTCTAAATCTTTCCAAATATAGGGATACCTTGGCCAGGTATTTTTAAGTTCATTTAATGCTATTTTTCCTGCCCTGCCTTCCTCTTTCATTGTTCTGTTCTTACAAACAGAATCTCAGAGTCAAAAGGGACCTCAGAGATCATGCAGGGAACCTGAGTCCTTTCTTACAACATACTTGATAACTGGACTTCCAGTAGCCACGTGAAAACTTTCAACGAGGGGGTAACTCACTACCTTACCAAGGCAACCCATTCTACTTTTGGATAACACTAACTACATCCATGATTTTCTTTACATTGTGTCATTTTAAAAGGATCAAGAGATATAATTTCTGGGTAATTTAATCATTTTATTAATAATGCCTCATTTTAATAAGAAGATGGTCATTTGGCCATCTCTCTCTTAGGCCAAAGAATCATGCCGGGTGGGATGAGGAGGGCCTCACTGCTTATATCCCCATTGGAAGAGGGTGGCAATCAATTCTGATTGGTTAAAATTAATGAGACAATGAATATTACAATGAGGAACTGAACCTATTCAAAGGAACTTTGAGTATATCATTTAATTCTAAGTTACCACCAGCCTTGGACAATCTATTCAAAGAATTTATCCCACCCAAACCTGAGTAGAGCACAATGGCTTCCCCATCTGGGTGGGGTCTGAACAAGAGTGTTAACAAAGTTAGTTTATTCTCATTATCAGTAATATCCTTCAAGAGACTGAACTTTTGAAATCAGGACTTTAGAAAAAAGGGGAGAACTCTGGATCCCCCCAAATCATTGATTATTAATAATCATTTCTCTCAATATCAAGTAAAATTGGCCTATCTACAGTACTCCTGCTTAAAAAATAATGAACTAGGCCACAGCTTTTTGTATTATAAAATTGGTAAATCACAGAAGAATAGATGGGAGAGGAGGAAAATGATCACAGAGGAAAACTGAACTGAATTCTTAATCAGGTGTCAGATGTTTTGCTCATTGGGCTATGTAAACTATTAACACAATTCTTGAGGGCCCCCCCCCACCGCCCCACCATCAAAGTCCATATAGGATGAATGGGACTTTTATTTGACATCAAAATATATAGTCATATGTTGCTTACCCCAGGCTTTACTATCCAAAACTAATTTTTGAATGTATTTGATAGTAGAAATCGCCTACTTTTCAGGAATCTAAGGGTGATGTCTTACTGTTCAGTTCTGTCTAAAAATGACCTGGTCATTTTTTTTAGTTCCAAAAGGAAAGAGTCCATGTGAATTCTTCAAGCCTCTCTTGAAACTTTCTGTAGATAAATAACATGAAGAAATGAGATTTTAAGGAAAATCAATAGACCATAAACTCTTCGAAGATCAGAGGTTTGGAGTGTTTTCTTTTCTTTTTAACCTTTGTATCCCCATCGTCTTATACATAATACACAATATTTACTGAATTTGCCCATCCAGGCCAGTATTCTGTCTTTGACATTGTCACTAAGAGATATTTGGTGAAAGCACCTCTTGTGCTTTATGATGTCAGTGTCTGGAGGCCAGAGACATACTTTCAAATATTTCTAGATTCTCTTAATAAGCTCTTAGGAATCAGTCATCCACAATTCATCCAAATCCTTCCTGAATCTATATTTTGGCCCCCATTACCTCCTAGAAGCCATGGATTCCTCAAATTTACTGTCTGCTATGAAAAATCATGGTACTTTCTCTTTGTCCTAAATTTTCAAGATCCTACACTTGAACAGTCAAGTTTAGGAAGCAGTGAAAGTAGAAAACCCATGGTTAAGACCAGAAACCTCCTGGATTGCTTCCAAGGAAGACCTAATACTCTAGGAAACTTCTGGTCAACAAGGAATTAGTTCCTCCTTGGAAATGATCCAGGAGACCCTCCCTGCCCAATAGAGGCTTTCTTTTTTCACTGTTTTTTAAATTTAAGTGGGAATGACTGCAAACCTCTCACCTTTTTAGTCTTTAAGCTTGCCTAGCCCGTGGTCTCAAAGGTATACCACACCCAAATCGTCTTCTTTAGCTTTTTATTAATTTCTTTTGTTTTTATGCCAGTGATCTCCAGATATGCCCTTCCTGGTAACCAAGAAAAATAGTGACTCAATCTGACAGTCTATGCCCAGAGGTTCCCCACCCAGCTAACAAAAGAAGGAGTCATTACAACTGCCCAATATTTTGGCTTCTTTTTTGGGGAGGGGAGGGGGTGAGGTTACACTTGCATTATTACAGTATTTGTGCATGTTGTCCACCTGGCTCCTCAAATAATTCATACAAATCTTCCCATGTTTCTCCGAATTTTTCATTCTTCCCTGTCTTCAGACACAATTCTTATACCATAATTTATTCAGTCATTCCCCCAAGCAATGGGCACCTTCTTTGTTTCAAGTTTTTTGCCAACCTCCCAAAAGTGCTGCTAGGCGAGAAGACGTGTATTGTAATGGATATAGGGCTGTTCTTAAGTCAGGGACACCTGAATTCAAGTTCCACCTGAGACACATACTGGCTACCTGACTCTGGGCAGTTCACTAGGCAACTCTAAGTCTCTTAAGATACAGAGCAGTTGCTGGTCACCAATGGTAGAAGTTATTTCTTCATCAAGAAATCATGGGGATATGGGGAACAACAACAACAAAAAGGCTTCTGTGAATACTTTGGCATAAATAGGGCCTTTCTGTCTCTTGCTTACTTAGGGTATGTGCTGGGCAGTGGGACTTCTCCTTCAAAGATTTTTCCCTTTCTTTTGAAATGGCATCTTGGTGCATTCTAGTTCCCACTCTCCCCTCCCACACCTTAAACCCGTCTTGGATTCCAGAAAGGATTTGTATTTATAAATGGGAAAAAAATCATTTCAAAAATCCTATACTTCTGCAATCAATATAAGTAATCAATATAAAATAGAATATAACAGCCTGGATGGCTGCCAGTTTGTTTTATCTTATCTCCCTAAAGTCATCCTGGCTGTCTCCAAAGCTAAAATGTTTTCCTTCCTGGCCAGGAGTCTGAATTTCAGCATACCCCCTCTTAATGTCTCCTCAATTAGAATTAGGGACCCTGATCCTGGGAAACTTCATACCAATTTAGGAATCCCCTTGCTCCTGGGTCTATAAACCCCATACTCACTCTTAACCAATCAAAAAACCTCCTGATTGCTGGTGGGTTCCTGGTGATCCAACCACATTCTTATCTAAGCATAAAGTAATAAATGCTTCTTTCCAAAGTTCTTCATAGATCAAGAGGTGGAAGGTCATGTAGTCCAACCCATCTCATTTTGCAGATGAGGAAATGGAGGCCCAGAGAGGTGAAGGAATACTCTTGCCCAAAGATCACACAGGTAGTATGTAGCAGAGCTAAGATTCTAATCCTGGTCCTCTGATTAAACACTCTTTCCACTGGAGTTGTGGAGGGAAGACTTTTATAAAAATAATATTACTGTAGCATCTGCACCCTTGACTCAGTTTGCCCACAAAGCGCATCAAAGAAAATCTCTTTCCTTACAGTGCCCTGTACCTTTGTCACTCAGGTCTTTGGTGAACAAGTTCCCCCTATTAAAATTTTATATTCTAAGGTGGTTTTTTTTTTCATTCAGAAACTCCTCTACTACCTCCATATTCCTCAACTTTTACCCTCCTCCATGCCCTCTTCCATTTTAGTTGCCCTCCTCCATACTCATCTCCATTCCACTTATCGTCTTTGATCCTCATTTTACTCATTTGAAAAGTGGGGATAAACATGCTTTATGTGGTGTACTCCACAGAGACCCCAGTGGGAAAAAAAAGGACATCATAAAGCTTAAAGTGCTACATAGAATTGTGAATAGTGACTTCCCTGAGATGAGGTAACCGCAACTCTATCCAACTGGCCCTATTTTCTGCATTATTTTTAATATCCTTCCTGGAGATGCCCAGATTGTTCTGGTCAATGAGCTAGAGTAACACATTGGAACAGTGTTAGAAAATGTCAGGGGTGGATCATCTAGGCTAATCCCTCAGGTAAAATGCTAACAATGTCATTCTTTTGATCAAAAACTTTTTTTGGTTCCCTCTTGCCTTTAGAAAGAAATGCAAACAATATTCTTTGTTACCACTGCCAAGCACTTAGTAGGTGCTCAGTAACATATGGCGATTCACAAAACTCATTTAGAACTAGATGTACCCTATATTCAATGTCTACAGGCAGAGTAAATATGCCTGGCTCCCATGGATATTGAGTCAATGGTTCTATCTCATTATTATTACAATATTCTAACACCCAGCTTCCCAACAGAATGTCTGGAGACTTAGGTGTGTTTCAGTGTAACAGCTTTTTTCTCATTCACTTGTATGCCCATTTTTGTGCCCCTCCATCACCATATTAGAAAGTAGAGAGGGGTGGTGCTAACCACCATGGTGGTTAGCACCAACAGGTGATGTCTCTGTGCTTGTGTTTTTGACTACGTGGTTGCAGTAAAGAATGTGAATGGAAAGATGGTCACTACGTTCCAGTGTGGTCACAGGTGTGTCCCAGGGGGTTAAAAAAAA